CTTCCGATCATATGGGAATACAGCTGGTTACAGCAGGCTTTAACTATTGCACAAGGTGGAATGACTTTAGCTCCAAAATCACACGAAGACTGTGCTGGTCTGGCCGCCTGCCAGTGACACTGTGAAAGCCTGTCATTTAGAGGCCTCAGGGAAATCTGCCATTCACCACAAAGTTCATCATGTGGAAAGAAGAAATTCTGTGGCATACTGGTTTAGAGGCTGCAACTGAAAAACATTCAGCCAGAGATACCTTGAGGCTAGTTTTTTTTCCCAGGATAGAACTGTTATTATCTAAAATAAAATAATCAAATAAACGTCATCGTTTCCTCCAGGATATCATGGCTACTGTTCAATCCCCTGTCAGCATGGGAACTGTGTTATTGAAACAGCAGGTCACATGATTTCCTTCCCATAAATATGTTTAAGTATTGCCATATATTTCTGCTTTATTGTGATTTTTTTAAAAAAATCTTAATTGAAATAACTAAGTATAACCCGTGTGTTTTGAAAAATAATCTAGAAGATTAGAGCAAGACATAGAGGAAACACACCCTGCAGCCTTCCTTCCAATCCATCCCCAAATTCCTAGAAATGGCAAAAAAAAAAAAGTTTTAATTCCTTTATCTCTTCCAAAGACTCGACTACAATTGCACTTTATCTAAGGCAACCTCAGATTCAAATATAAGAATCTGTTTTATCACTCGTTCTTTGGACTAACAGCAATCCACTTCCACTGGCAAGGAGGCCAGTTCAGGTAAGCAACCCTAGATTCATATCTTTGAGAGCCCGTATCCTTCGACCACTCCTCATACCAAAATACTGTATTAGTCAAAGAATTTCCCACAATCATTTTGGAAAGGCTGGAGAAACAAAGAGATGGAGATGGTGTTGCTCAGAGATCAGGAAGTGGTTACTGCCCCTGGGCTCTAGCCTAAAAGCCTGCACTCACTGCCCTGAAAAGAAGCCGGGCTACTGACACTGCCAGGGGCACTGCCTGAAACACAATAGCTTCTCCCATCATCCCCCTTCAATCTAGCACCATTGTCTCCCGTTTGCAGAAGCTAACTTGAATTTATCCAGTAAGGGAGTCTAGGATATGTCATTTCAGACACCAGCTTCAGGAATACAAAGGGGACTATAGAAAAGTGGATATAGGGCTAAGTAGCAATAGACATGATCAGACATAGGCCACAACTTTAATAAACAGAAGAATTCACACCAAAGGAAGCAAAGCTAACAGAAAAAAAAAAAAAAAAGGGAGGGGGAGCAAAACTTTAAAATAAGTATAATTATTATATTTAGAGAGATGACAGGAAAGAACATATGTGAAAATAATTAATGGATATTCTGCCACAGTAGGAGATGAAAATAATTTTCTCTTCTTTAAGTCATCAAGTTTGTGGTGATTTGTTATGGCAACCCTAGGAAACTAATGTGGGGAATTAGAGCTAGGCAAATTCTTACACACGGCACCAAAGGCATGATCCATTAAAGAAAAAGCATGGTAAATAAGACTTCATAAAATTAAAACTGTTGCTTTATGAAAGACCCTGTTTAGAGCTACAGACTGGGAGAAAATATTTGCAAACCATACATCTGACAAAGGATTTGTATTTAGATTATATAACAAACTCTCAAAACTAAACAGTAAAACAAAGAACAAACAAACCCAAGTAGAAAGTGGGCAACAGACATGAAAGATATTTCATGAAATAGGATATATGGATGGCAAATAAACACATGAAAAAACGTTCAACATTATTAGCCATTACAGAAATACAAATTAAAACCACAATGAGGTATCACTACACATCTACTAGAATGGCTAAAATTAAAAACAGTAAGAAATACTAATATAATAGTGGATACACGTCATTTTACATTTGTCAAAACGCATAGAATGTACAACACCAAGGGTGAACCCTAATATAAGCTGTGGACTTTGGATGATTTTTTTAAAGGTGGGGAAAATAGCGCAAAATTTTTTAAAAATCAAAAAAATAGGGCTTCCCTGGTGGCGCAGTGCTTGAGAGTCCGCCTGCCGGTGCAGGGGACGCGGGTTCGTGCCCCGTTTCGGGAGGATCCCACATGCCGCGGAGCGGCTGGGCCCGTGAGCCATGGCCGCTGGGCCTGTGCGTCCGGAGCCTGTGCTCCGCAAATGGGAGAGGCCACGACAGTGAGAGGCCCGCATAACGCAAGAAAAAAAAAAAAAAAAAAAATCAAAAAAATAGTGAGAATACTAAATTTGGAAGAGACAATGAAAATGGATCACTCATAATTTGCCAGTGGGAATGGAAAATGGTACAGCCACTCTGGAAAATAGTTTGGCAGTTTCTTAAAAAATTAAGCAGCAGTCACACTCCTGAACATTTATCCCAAAGAAATGAAAACTATGTCCAAACAAAAACCTGAATATTCATGTACATATATACCTTTGCTCATTTGTGTGAGTAACTATTAAGGGTAAATTTCTAGAAGTGGAATTATAGGATCAAGGGGTATGCACATCTTAAATTTTGATAGTTGTAAATTGACTTTCAAAAATTCAACAATAATTTATAGTGCTCCAAAAATGGTATGCGAGCACCTGTTTCCCTATACCCTCAACAATATTGGATACTGTCAAATATTTAAATATTTGGCTTTCTAATAGATTTTTTAAAGTTATCTCTTTGATTATGTGTGAGGAGGATATCTTTTCAAATATTTATTGGTTATTTGTATTTATGTTCCTGTGAATTGTGTGCTTATTTCTATTTGTCTATTTTTCCTACTTAGTCATTTTTATTAATTTTTTAAAGTTCTTTGTATATCAAGGAAATTAATCCTTTTGAAATTTTATTTAGCTCTTGCCTTTTAAAAAACGTTTGATACAAAAATTTTTGCTTCCTATTTGGTTAGCCTAATTTTTTAACATTTTCATTTTGGCCTCTAGATTTTTCTGTGTTGCCTGAAAGATTCCTCCCATTTTAAAGGTATTCTTTAAAATATGTTTTCTTCTAGAATGTTCATGATTTCTTTTCCTTTTAATTCACTATTTGACCAATCTGTAATTATTTTGTCAAAATGGCAAAGACCACCTATAGAGTTAATCAAGGGCTGTTTATTCAAATCTTACTATTGTAAGGGGGTCACTACCATCACTTTCATTCCAGTAGAGATTGGAAGGGGGTTGAAAGGAGAGTGAATTTTATAGGCTGAAAGGAGGAAGTCCTACGACAGTCTTTGGTGAGTGTTCTTTTAGGATGGGATT